GGTCAGAGAACTTGCTGAGGGTGCACTATATCTATATGCTCTATATCTATTATCAATGCCTACACCTATACATACATCTATATCTATCTAGATCATATCTAATCTATATCCATATAGACAGATCTAGACATAGATAGATCTAGATCTAGGTACATCTATCTATATGATCTCTATATGATCTATATCATCAGTGCCTATGCCCATATCTACATCTACATCTAGCTATATCATCCATATATATCATGTCTCTCTGTATCATCTCTACTTATGCCTACAGCCCCCTCTACATTCCCTTATCCAAAGGCTCAGAACAGCAGGGAAGGCCATGCCCAGCCATTCCCTAGGAATCAGACAGTGGATGAAAATATAGCTCAAAAACTTGGCTAAATGACCAAAATCCTGTGGTGTGACATGTCTGGCTCTCAGCACCTGCAGCAGGACACAACCCCTGTGAGTGTCCTCACCCTGTGCTCAAATCAGCCCCCTGAGAAACCAGAGATGGCCTCATGCCACCCCTTGTTCCCTCTCCCCTGCCCCAGTGTGCTGTGCCACCCCAGCCACTGGGAGGTGTCCCCATGCCCCAGTGTGTGGTGGCACTAGGGACCACATGGCAGTAGGGCAGAGGCTGCAGGTTTGTGCCCAGGAGCACTGATACCTGTGAGTGTCACAGGAGTGTCACCCCTGATGACATTAGCCAGAGGTTGTGCCACCCTGGGACTGTACAGAGAGAAACCTGGAGTATGTGTGAGTGTCTGTGAGCCTGGGGATAATTACAGTTTCTATTTTACAGATATTAGTCATGAATTTCAGTATTTCTTTTATTTTGTTATTTTAACATCATGTTGTCTACTTCTTTTGCACCTTGATTACCCCTCCCAGCCCAGGCACTCAAAGCAGTGCCCAACACTGACCCATGCACAGCCTTCACTGCGTCCATACACAGGGACAGAACACAACTGGCCAATTTTCTCAGGGATCTGAGCTCCCAGCAGGGCTGGATCATTGCTGCCCTGTGCCTCCATGCAGGACACATTCACCAGCCCACAACAGCAGCATCTGCCTTGCCTCTAGTGCTGGGGGGTCCTGCTCCCCCTAGCAGGACCCAGAGCTGCCACAGTGCCTCTACTTGGGATCATCCCCAGAGAGAAACATCCCCTGAGAGCATCACACCTGTAGAGCAACACCCCCTAGTGTCACCCCGTAAAGCATCACTGCCATTGAGTGTCACCACATAAAGCATCACCTTCATAATCCTCAGAGTGTCATCCCCATAGGGCATCAATCCTATGGAGCAATGTCCCCACAAGGCATCATTCCCCTACAGCATCCCCCCCATAGAGTGTCACCCAAAAATGGCATCACCCCCCATAGGACATCATCCCATAGAGCATCACCCCCACAGAGAGTCACCCCCATATGGCATAACCTCTATAGGGCATTGTCTCCATAGTGTGTCACTTCCACATGGCATCACCCCCATAGAGTGTCACCCCAAAATGGCATCACCCCCATAGAGAGTCACTCTGAAATGGCAACACCCTCATCAGGCAGCACACTCATAAAGTGTCACTCTCATCATCTATGTCATCACCCCCACAGACCATCACCCCTAAGTGGTATCACCCCATAGAGTGCTGTCTCCATAGAGTGTCAACCCTAGAGAATATCATCTCCAAACAGCAGAACCTCCATAGGGCATTGTCCCCTTAGGGCACTGTCCCCATAGATCATTCCCCCGGTAGAGCATCACCCTCATAGAGTATCACCCTCATAGAGTGTCCCCCTAAATGACATCACTCCATGGAGCATTATATCCATAGAGCATTACTCCCATAGGACATCACCCTCCTAGGGCATTGATTGTCCCTATAGAGCATTGGTTGTCTCCATAGGGCACTGTCCCCATCGAGCATCAGTCCCATAGGGCATCACTCCCATTGGGCATCAACCCCATATGACATCACCCCCATAGGGCATCATCCCCATATACCATTTATTGTCCCCATAGGACATCATCCCCATAGACCATTTATTGTCCCCATAGGGCATCATTCCAATTTGGCATCACCCCCATAGAACATCACTCCCATAGGGCATCACCCTCATAGACTGTATCCATAGGGCATTGTTCTCATAGAGCATCACTCCCACAGGGCATCATCCTCATAGAGCATTGATTGTCCCCAAAGAGCACTGTGCCCATAGGGTATTGTCCCATAGACCATTTCCCCTGTAGAGCATCACCTCCATAGAGCATCACCCCCATAGGGCATCACTCCCACAGGGCATCATCCTTGTAGAGTATTGCTTGTCCCAAAAGAGCACTATGCCCATAGGGTATTGTCCCATAGACCATCTCCCCTATAGAGCATCTCCTCTATAGATCATCCCCCCCATAGAGCATCACCCCCTTAGGGCATCACCCCCATAGGTCATCATCCCCATAGAGCATTGATTGTCCCCATAGGGCGTTGTCCCCATAGAGCATCACTCCATAGGGTATTGTCCCTCTAAAGCATCACCCCCATTGGCATCGCCCCCATGCTGGTGCTCAGCCCAAACCTGAGCCCCCCAGTGCCCCCCAGAGCCACTCACCCCTGTCTGCGGCGCGGCGGGACGGAAACGCAGGTCGCGCTGCTCCCTCTCCTGCTGGTTGAGGGAGCTGAGCAGGCTCTGGAGCCGCTCGATGTACTGGATGGCACTGCGCAGGATCTCCACCTTGGGCAGGCGCTGGTTGGGGTTGAGCAGAGTACTGCGCTTCAGCGCCTCGAACGCCTCGTTCACCTTCTTCAGCCTGCGCTTCTCGCGCAGCGTGGCCGCTCGCCGCACCGTCTTCCTCTTGCACACCTTGCAGGCCCAGGGCAGGCACTGCCCGGGACAGTGCTCGGCCAGCGAGGAGTCCTTGTCCTGCAGAGCCACTCTGCCCTCGGCACACAGTGTCCCCTCGGGCCGCTCGGGCAGCGCCGCCGGCTCGTAGCCCTGCAAGCGGGAGCCAAGGAAGGTCTCCCCATCGTAGAACCTCTGCTCTGGAAAGAAATAAGGGTTGGTCTCAAAGAGCTCCATGGGTTCAGCGATGAGCGTGTGGTTCAGGGATGTGTGTGCAGCTCAGGGATGTGTGTGAGGTTCAGGGATGTGTGTGAAGCTCAGGGACGTGTGTGTGTGAGAGGCTCAGGGACGGCTGCTCCTCTCCCCACACCAACTGCTTGGTGCCATTTAAACCCCAGCTCTGGCATTAAATCACGGAGATAAATATAGCCAACCTAAAAGAAACCTGAGCCCACCCTTAGCTGCTGCCTCACATCAAAACTTGGCCAGCTGATTTCATGTGCTCTCCCCACGGGGATTACAGCGCCCGGGCTGGGGGGCTGGGGGAGCTGGCACGGGGAGGGGGGCTCAGCCACCCCTCAAACAAGGGCTTTGTGTGAGCCCAGGGTGCCACTGGGGACGGTGGGTG